ACTTGTAAATGCTTATTTAAATTATAATTTATTCAAATTGTTGTTTAAATTATTGGTTAAATTACCATTTAATGATACTAGCAACTAGTTATGGACAAAATAACGCTTCATGAGCCATTTGCTATATTTTTTGACTCCACTAGATGGAGCTCTATGTCCAAAGCAGGACAGGAAGCCTGTGCCAAAGCAAACCAAGATCACCATCTACAGCAAACGGCTCATGAAGAGTATTTCTGTCCATCACTACGAGCAACCATTAAAATTATCCGTCAAATCTCCTATCTTACTCAGTGGGTAGACTCTAAACAAAACCTAACATGTAACTGATTACTTTGTAAACTAAGCCACACCAGATCGATCTCACCAAGGCGACTGAATTCTCATTTATTGTTTGTTCCGTCCTGGGAACAGACTCATTACAGAAATTTCCTAACTTGCAGATCCTATCTTAACTGCTTGGTAACCATGGTAACTACGGTTAGGACCTGATTTAAGAAAAAAGTCATTGCTTCTAAGTCAATATATATATATTCCCGCGGACCCCATACATGCTGATGATTTTCATGTACATACATACGGTACGCATTGTAAGGAATTACCAACATTAAAAACAGTCAAAATAAAGTTCATTGTACATTATTGCACAGTACTGACGGGGATTTTTACATTTTATCCTAATTATAAAGAAATGATACAGCAATTTAAAAATATCATACATCAAAGGATAACGGAGCAATGTAAATCATGCTGATATATAACGATCAAAGGGTGAGGGAACTATGAACACAAAGTCAAAACTCACACGCGTAAATATGCCACTCGCGAGCGCAAAAGTAAAACTCGCGAGCACAGGACGAATAGCCGCGTGCGCGTTCATCATAATATCGCCTTCTCTAATGTATTTTTCTCCTCCCAACGTCATGGTTATGCATTAAGCGCATTTCCTTCGGCCGCTCTCTGCGCTCGAGGAAAATTTCTGCGCTCGCGTTCTGCCGGGGGGAGGTTTTGACAGTTAAGGGGGCGGAGTCATGCCCCTAAATCTGCAATGTAATGCCCCTTTGGGAATTGATTTACAAAAAATATCTTCACATGGAGACACACTGTAAAACTATTAAACTGATAACGTAGATGCAGCTCAGGTTCAGAGAGGCCATACGTCAACACGGGGGGAACAGGCACCCCCAGGGACAAGGCAGCAGACAGCTCAAAGAACATAAACAAAAATAAGTTTGCCTATAGTTAATACTATGTGGTAGCCAGTGAACGAGCTTATTTAGGATTTGGGGAAGTTACGACGTAGTACTGCGCCAGGATCGAACAGTCCAAACACGGTTTTAAATGAGAACTCAATCGACTGGGTGAGATCGATCTGTTGTGACTTACTTTGCAATGTAACCGAATGGATATTATGTTTTGTTTAGAGCCCGACCGCTGAGTTCAATCGGTGACAGATAATTTTAATGGTTGTTGGTACTGAAACTGTAATTTAAATAATCACTTAAATGACATATTCATTCAATTGAGAGCTCAATCTAGCAGCAATTTCAATTATTAAAAAATCATATAAATTACATTTGCTTATTGAGTATTGTCACAAAAGACCCCTCATAAGCTGAAGATTGGATGTAAAAAGAAAACCTTTAGTTTAGTTTTTATTAACATTTAAAAAATTGGCATTATTCTTAAAAATGACAGATATCTGTTTCAGAAAGTTTTTAATCATTATTTCCAGATTTCACACAAACCTATATAACTAAACTGACACTTAAAAAGTAACAAAGTAACCTGTTATCCTAACCCATTCATTTTTCTAGTTTCCATATAATCACTGTATTGATAATATTACTTCACTGAAAGATATTAATGTTATAACACTGATGGTTTTTACTGTATTGAGACAGATTATTAACTGCAGCTTCCTCTTCATCCCACAGCTCCTGTGACTCTGGACCCAAACACTGCAGCCCCCTGGCTCTCAGTGTCTGATGATCTGACCAGTGTGAGAGACACTGATGTTTATCAGCAACTTCCTGACAACCCAGAGAGATTCTCCCCCTGTGTGTGTGTGCTGGGATCTAAGGGGTTTAACTCAGGAAAACACAGCTGGGAGGTGGAGGTGGGGGACACACCTAAGTGGGATGTAGGAGTAGCAGCAGAGTCTGTTAACAGGAAGGGGGGGATTTCATGCAGCCCAGAGGATGGATTCTGGGTTGTAGTTCTGAGGAAAGGTGATGTGTATACAGCATGTGATTCACTACCAACACGCCTGAGACTGAAGAGGAAACCGCAGAGGATCAGAGTGCAGCTGGACTATGACAGGGGGGAGGTGTCCTTCTCCAACCCCGCTGACATGTCACTCATCTACACCTTTAAAGGCACATTCACTGGGAGCCTGTTTCCATTCTTTTCTCCATATTTAAAAGAAGATGGCAAAAATGCTGGAGCCTTCAAGATTTGCCCAATGAAGATGTCTGTGACAGTGATGTCATCCCAATAAAATTGTTTCACATGCAGATGGCCACGCATGCACTGAGGCAGACCCACACGCAGACGGCCACGCATGCAGTGAGGCAGACCCACACGCAGACGGCCACACATGCACATGGACCCCCACCCCCCTCAGCCTAACGTGTCCCCACCCAGCTTCTACACCAGGCCTGTCTCCTCGCCACAACACCTACAGTGAAGTATCAGATGAGTCCTTCTCCTCTTGGCATGGGGCCTTCAGTCACCTTGCCCTGAAAGAGCAGAGATGATGTTTGCTGCCTTCATACCAAAAGCGTCACATGGGCGATGGGTTACTTACGTCAGTCCAGAGCTGTCTGTATACAGATATACGCTAAGCAGAGCTGTCACGATTACTCGATTAAACTGAATTATTAAAAAGCGTTAATTAAAATTTGCCGGAAGGAAGACGGGGCATAGTGGATGAGGGTGTAAAGAACGAAATCATCGTTTGTGTAGAAGCACTTCACATTAAAAGTGAATGTAGTTGTCTGTTAGCATTGCAATCAGAACCACGGCACGACTGCAAAGCAAATGCATGTTAAAAGAAGACATTCAGATTATATCAATAACAATGTGAGGTCAGCCATAGACGTCCTATTTAACCTCACGAAGCAGCCTAGCCTGTCCCTGTCGTCACTTTGACTATATTTTGCTTATTGTGATTCCTATACGTCAAAATAATCGCTGCTAAAACAAAGGTTACCCCGTCGCTTAGCCTCATCATTTTATATAATATGTTACATACTAGCCGTTTAACATGAGTTATTTTTAATGCATTGTGTGTTTTGAGTAGGGCTGAACAAGATTAGAAACAGATCATTTGTTACTGTCAGATTGTGATACTTAGGAATTGAAAAATAACTATATAGCCAAATGTAGTCATTATAAAATACGAAATATTTCCAAAGAGCGGAATATGAATGACTTTTCATGACCATGTCTTGTTCGCCTTTCTTCTCTTCACTCAATTTTTGCTTAATTTCTCATAAACATGCCCCACAGTCTATGAATCAGTCCAACAGAAAAGACGAAATGGATATTGGTCTCGGAGATCGCATGCAGTGCTCATTCAAAAGCGCTGCGGTAAACTTCAGACTAATTTTTTTAAACCAATATTATATAACATTAAAAAGGAACGATCATTAAAATTGCAAAGCTTGCAAAGTTTGGTTTCCTGTGACTAAATAAATGTTTTAGCGCAACTGCTTGATGGTTTGAACCCAGCAGACTATCACGGTCCTTGCAATGTGCATGAAATGCCACGTTGGTATTAACGCTGCACATTGTGGCAGCCTGTCAGGGCGGCACGGCGGGTAGCGGTCGTCACACACCGCCGCTCTGAGTGTGGAGCTCGCATGTTCACCCAGTGTGTGGGGCCTTTTCAGCAGATCGGCTGATTTCCTTATACCGTCCAAATACCTTAAGCTTAAGTGAACTGGAGTGCCTAAAGTGACCGTATGTGTGTGTGTGCACCCTGCTATGTGTGGTTGGTTCCTGTCTTGCAGCAATTGCAATGTTTATGTTATATATTAAACTATTACACGATGAATAGTCAGATTAATCAGATATCAATTATTAATATAATCGATAGCGACAGCCCTAATGCTAAGTGACCGCACTCCCTGTAGCGATGAGTTATCCTACTGCCATTGAGAACAGCATGGTCCCCTTACCCTCCCCGCTTCATGTTTAACACCAAGGCCCCCCCAGACCAGGAGAGGAACCAGGTATCGTACAGTTTAGAGATGGAGAAACCAAGCAGCACTTCTGTACACTTTATTACTCATCTGCACACATAAACAGAAACATCTCTATTTAAAACTTATCAAAAGGCTTTGGGTCGACACTGGGCCCCGCCCACGGATGTGACTCCGCCCACTGATGTGACTCCGCCCACGGATGTGACCCCGCCCACGGATGTGACCCCGCCCACGGATGTGACCCCGCCCACGGATGTGACCCCGCCCAGTGGTGATAAGGAAACGCAGGCAAGCGCCACATGATGCCACCACCAAAGCATTCATACAATAAGACACTGCTGAAGAGAAGCTCCCCCTGTCCTCTCCGCTACCGAAAGGATGAAAGGCTTAGACGTCCGGCTAAGTGCTGCGAGAGCCCTCAGCACACGTCGGTGACGCCATCAAACTCCATTCTCTGAGATCCAGAGCAACCCAGGGGCTTTCCTAGGAATCCAGCTTTCGACTGGGGAATCCTCGCTGAAACCCCCTGTGTGATGAGAACAATCAGCACAGCGCTCACACTAATACTGACAGGTCCACACCGTCACAAGGGGCTTAAAAAATGACGCCAGCATGGATGCAGACAGAAACAGCTCCTGCCTGACACTCCTCATGGCTCATGTTCCCCAAAAAAGGTGCAAAATTCACACGGTCCCTAAGATCCCCTTCAGCGCCTCATTCAGGCTGATGGGGCAAGAGCCAGGGAGCCAGAGGTCACAGGACCCAAAGTATCCAGGCAGACTGTGTAACGTGGGGGAGGGGGTGTTCACAGACTGCCCAAACACAGCCATGCATGTCAAAAGTGTAACGAAATGTGTAACGCAGTGGCCAGGCTCCTGGAATGCCCCCAGAAGTCTCTGAAGATCAAGTAGTATAATGCTAATGCAGGAGACCCTCTTTGTGTTTTAATCAGTCACGGGGGGGGGGGGGCGGGTCTCCCAGAACCAGAAATGGAGTTTTTTGGCATCGCAAGAAGTGCCTGAGAGAAACCGCAGGGACGGCGACCAGCTGGCTCAGGGGGCGTTGGGCACGGCTGGAGTCTCAGAGGTCAGAGTTCATGCAGTGGGTGGGGCAGGAGCCTCTCCAGAACAGCCCCTCATATCCCCACCAGTCACAGACTCCGGCAAAGGAGCGGTGCCTTCTGGGTCACCTTCGTCGGGATTAGGGCTATCGCAGGGCTGGCAGAAGCTGGAGAGCGTCCCCTCCAGGACTTGCCGGTACTCGCCCCTGTGATTGATGCGAAACTGGCGCAGCACATCCAGCAGGTGGGTGGCTGCAGTGCCACCTCCCTCGGCGCCGTGGGAATCCTGAAGCGAGAGGCCAGAGTGAGGAGTGCAGGCTGCAGAGAGGCTGCTAATGCAGATGCAGGGAGCCTCAAGCTCGCAGGCTCCTCCCACCCCGGGAATTCCCCTCCGCAGCCTTTCACTTAATGACAGGGAAGTTCACTGCCAGGATGTTAATTTGCCAGGTTTTGGACAGTCTACTGCCCCCTGCTGGCCTGCCACTGCCCTGTACTGGGTAAGAGGCTGTAAAATGGATGGGTAGACATCTTGCCCACATGAAACTAGGGTCACAGGGGTCCTGGGGATGGAATGCATGCCCACTCACCACGTCTTCGCCATGGGGGTTCAGCCGGGTGTAGACCGCCTCAATGGTTCCGTGCCTGAGAAAACACCAGCAGATATCAGTTCAGAAGCCGGGTCTCCATTACAAAGTGTCTGAGAAACCTGCCAACATCAGCCAGTGCGTTTGTCATGGGGCGAGCGGCACCTACTTGCTAGCGAGACCGCCCCCTGGTGGCAGGTTGGGAATGGCCTCCGAAGCCAGGACACGCATCACCTCCGCCATGCTTGGGGTGCCGTTCTCCTCCATCTGCATGATTTCTGAGAAGACATTGGGCGCATGTGAGGAGCCCGTCTGGACGCCTTCAGAAGGCCGGCGAGGCCAAGGTGATGAGAGACGCACCTTCCACACGAGCCTCTAGGTGGCGGTCCAGCTCTGCCTCCTGCCGCACGGCCGCCTCGCTCACCTTGGGCCCGTTGGGGAAGCAGACCAGCACCACGCTCATGTTGTCCCGGCTCCCCTGCACAAAGGCACCATTTGTTCTCCGCATCCCCCGCAGACTTTCGCGTTTCTATACAGACTGGACTTCACGTTCGGCCAGATCATATTTAAATCAGAGTACAGAAAAGAAGCCCCAAAAAGCAGCCTCATCTCTCAGGCCGCTGCTTCTGGTGGCGGTACCTTGTGCAGGCAGGTGTCCAGCAGGCTGTTGCAGACCTCCTCCAGGTTGTCCTGCAGCTGCAGGCGCGAACGGATGAAGCTGCATGCATCCTCGTTGCTCATGACGTCCCAGATGCCATCGCAGGCCAGCAAGGCGAACTCATCATCCTCACTGCGCTCGACCTCGTACACCTCGGGCTCCGGCGACACCTGCTGCTCTGTGGGGCTTCGGCCGTTGGCGCACTTGTAGTCGAAGTCACCGAGGGCGCGGGACACGGCGAGCGAGCCGTTGACTCGCTGCACGGTGACGGAGCCGCCTGCCCTGACGATGCGCTCACACTCGACCGGGTCTGCCGGCTTGTGGTCATGTGTGGCCAGCTGTACCCTGCCGCCGCGGCACAGCACTGCCCGCGAATCACCGCAGTTGATGAAGTAGAGGCGGCGCGGAGACGCCAAGAGTGCCACGGCTGTAGAGCCGCTGCGGTCCGGGCAGCCGCGCATGTCCTCATCCACCCGCAGGAAGCCAGCGTGGATTGCGCTCCTGACCGCCGCAGGGTCGTCGCCACAGAAACTGGTGCCATCCATGATGGAGCCCAGCAGGTGCTGCGAGCAGTAGGTGGCGGTGCGCGAGCCGGCGTGCCCGTCGAAGACGGCGAAGAAGGACCAGGCGTCCAGGCTGCTTGGCAGCCCCAGCACGGCTGCATGCGCATCCTCCATCTCCACGCGCCAGCCCTGCATGCTGCTCAGGCCGTAGTGCAGGCTGTTACCCTCCCCGTGAGAGTTCTGCTTCTCCGTCTTTGGCTTGTCCAGGAAGGCCCCCATGGCTCCGGGCAGGAAGGAGGGGCTCTGTTCAGCATGGCCAGCAGCAAAAGAATACAATTAGAAGCAAGGAAAAGGCAAATCTGCTTGAAAACATGAGGCCATTTGGATGAGCTACCAGGCCCTAATCCATGAAGACACCAGGGCATCCCCCTTCCTCTGCTTAGGACGTCCTCACCATCTCACGCAAACACGTCATATTCCTACACAGTATAATGTAGGACCGGGACAGGGTCCGGGACCGGGACCGAGACTGGGACAGAGACAGAGACTGGGACAGAGATGGAAAGCCCCTCCCCACCACCCTGAAAACCCCCCTTGCCAAACCCCTTCACACGTATGTCAGATTTAACAGAGCCTCTGTCGCAGGCACTTCATGCCCGTTTCTGAACTGGCTAAACTGGGCACACTGGAGACTCTGCACGCAATGACCTGCATCACAGCCATACAGAAAGGGACACTGTGCCGTGTCACCAAATTCCCAGAAAATGCATCCAGCTAGAGCCAGGCAGCCAAGTTCAGAGCCAGGTCCATGTACAGTGTGCAGTCTGGTCAGTAGTTTCCACACTTTCGTAACCCTGGAGCCTCTATTTATACCCAGCAGCTCAGATTACAAGCAGAAACTGCTGCCCCAGTCACTCAGAACCATCTGGGAGATGCGCCCCAATCGTCTGTGTGCTCCCAGTGACATTGGGAGCCATTCCACTCATGAATGCGAAGTATACCTCAGAGCAATCCACGAGGGGAGGGGCTGGGAGCCTGTACTGGTGCAGACTAGACAGGTCTTAAAGTGTATGGGGACCACAACTGTATAACTGGGGAAAGTATGTACAGTGTAGGTGGCGCTGGCCAAAAGAATCTGTATTGCACTGTAATCAAGCTAACAAACCCGCACTTAATGCTGCCAGTTCATGTCATAGTAGGAAAGACACAGAAGACAGCAGAGTAAGGTATTTAACTCGAAATGCTCCATTTGAATACTCAGAAGAGTTTGGCAAAGAATATCTTAACTGAAACAATCGCTGATGCTAAACGCTAGTGCTAAAAATAAAGTAAGATGTTCTCTGCATGTTTGAAATCCATACTGTTATCTGAACCCAAAGGAGAGTTTAAACTACTATCCAAATGTCCGGTACAGTATTTTGAAATCCTTTCGACAAAATTAGTCAGGACCCCAACCTCCCTCAAGCTGCTCGGCAAACTTTAAGGCTAAGATTTCAAAATGATATGCGGGTACCTCCAAGCCTCCTCATATAGTTAGGCACCATAACTACTACAACAGCGGCTTATCTTCCTCTACACTTTCAGCTGTGAAAGTCCACGCTGCCCTCTACTGGAAATACCTAATCAATTACCTTGCACATACGCATGCGCTCGAACTCACCAATGTGTCCCAACAGACCCCCAGCTTATCCTTAACAAATAAAACCATCTTAGGGGCAAGTGCTTTGCTTTTGGTGTCCGGGTGTGTTTGAGAGACTCCCACCCAGCCCTCCTGACGTGAGCCCCCCAAAAGAATTAGCAGTGTGACTGCAAGCAAGGAGGCTTCAGCAAAATGAATGCTTACGAGATATTTAACCACCGACCAGCTAATTTAAACGATTTACGCCGTTAGGGTGACTGTGGCAGGGAAACCTTTCGGGGGATGGAATCCCACAGAGTGACAGCCTCATTTTGGCCCCGTAGTCTCATACATTTACACACAACTGCCGTTTTACTGTAAGCTGCCGTTTCTTGGCTGATTCCGAGGCTCTGGCTTGCTGGCATGTTAGTACAGGTTTAGCAATTTAGCCAGAAAAGAACCTGCAAGCAGGATTTACCACGACTCCCAGAACAGCCTGCTAGTCTGTTTATGTAGCCTGGCTGATTTCTCCTTAAGAGCTTTTTCCCCCATAAACTTCTACAAATATGAAGCCCCTAAGAAACTTTAGGCTACACCTACATTGTCTTTACAGTAATAATATTACACACACACACACATTAATCTCTCACATATGACAAGCTTCAAGTTACACTTACAGCATTAAGCATAAGTCCAAGGATGACAAACTCTGCCCCTCTAATGATTAAACCTGAGATATGTCACATCTATCAGAAGAAAGCAGAAAGACTTACATAACAGCACAGGCAAGGCAGATGTTATAGTTCTGTCCTAAAAGTAACTTGCATGTAAACACTTCTGAAGCGTGTACCCGCGGGAAAACGGCCGGGTCACATGACCACGCTTAAAACAACTTGTGAGCTTCGTGATCCCGGAACGCGCGCATCTCTTCTTGTACGCCGCCCTAAAAAAAGACGTCAGCATCTACAGAAAGGCAAAGAACGTGTCCGACATTCCTGCCACGCGCACGCCCTTCTCGCGTCACCGTGGCAACCAGTAAACATCACGAAAGATAAATGTCGTTGGTTACCCACACGATTCTATGGAAGCCCGTTTCCGCCACCGGAGAAAAAAAATTATATAAAATTTAAGTCGAAATTTCGACTTAGTATGTCGAAATAACTATGGAAATTTCGACTTAGTTATCTTGTTATCTCGTTATTTCGAGATAGTTATCTTGTTATTTCGACATAGTATCTCGAAATTTCGACTTAGTTATGTCGAAATAACAAGATAACTATCTCGAAATAACGAGATAACTATCGAAATTTCGACTTAGTATCTCGAAACAAGTTTCTAGTTTTAACTTTTCACGGAAGGTGGTGCGTTTTTAATGACAGAATCGTGTTGCCAGTATACTAGGGTGACCAGATAATCCATGTCAGGGAGGACACTCTGA